AGATAACAAGTTAAAGAAAAAAAACAACCCATTGTGACCAAGAAATGTGTAGCTATATTAAAATTCACTCGTATTTCTTCAAGAACATGTTCATTGGGTCGAACCTTCAAGTATAGAAGGCTGGAGATCATCAACCCTGTCCTTACCATCCCAGCTTTAAAATGCACAACCACAACATTCTCAAAATCCTCCTTCAGCCAGGAGTAAGCACTTTGACAAAAGGATATGATCAATCGAATTTGGGGGGGGCATTATGGTCATCAACTGAGAAACTAGCCACCTGAAGAAAAAGTTGGATATCAACTATAAGATGTATAATTTCATTTCACATAGGTCATCTCACAGTAAGTTCTAACAGGCTGCATTTGCTGTTATGCATTAACGAGTAGGAAAACAAATGGTCATAAAGATTTGTCAAAGATTAGGTGGAACTGACTCTTCTTAAGAATTATCTTCTGCCAACAATTGATTTTCATCATTGAGTGAAACACTCTTGCCCATAACTCCTAATGAATTCAATTGCCAAATAGTTTAAGAAGAAATTAGTGGCTGATTTTTCTGATTTGCTCCACAGGTCCAACCAAATGGAAGTCAAAAAATATTTTCAAAAGTCAACCTAACATGGTATGGTTATTTGCTTAAGAGACCTCGAAGAAGATCTTTTATCAAAGTTATATGATAGGCAAATGGCACACAGCAACAGCTAAAAAAAAAAGCCCATGTGGAATTAAACATATAGTGAGTTACCCCAACAAACCACAACATACCTTTCCTTCAAACAATGAAGCATCATAAAGCTTCTCAGAGCAAAGATTATATACTTTGTACTTGTCCTGCATTTAAGTAAATAGGTTTTATGATCAAACAATACAATGCATGGCAATGATGAAACATACACAAATACATATTAACTAGCAACAAAACGGCCCCTTCAAACCCAAATTTTATTTTTAAATTAGATCAACCAAATAGTCAGCGACAATGATTTAACAGCTCCAGAAACCCCAAAAGACAAGATTCATATTGAATGAAAGGTTGATGTAATCGAAAAAAGGTATATAGATCAGAAATTTGACATTAGACTACTAAAGCAGCTATTTAACTAGGTAAATACGGAAAAGTGCCAAAGCATGCATAGCACAAAGCAGACAAAGAGCTAAGCCAGTTATCATTTTCAAATAGCTGAAGACATATTATAGGAAGAGGAACAATAATCTCTGTCCACCAAAAGAGTAAACTCCATAAACCAGCATTTCCATGAGTTGTTTTGTCGAAATGGACAACTTATCATCCGCTAACATGCATAAATAAATACTGATCAACCTAAAACAAACTAGAACATGTTGTTTTTTTCAACTTAGGATATTAAGAACTATAAAACAAAAACACATACAGCTGCATGGTGGAGAAAACAAGGGTGAAAAAAAGGAGGAAGAAGAAGACGCAGATTATAGATCAATAGACCTGACATTACCTTGTGATGCGTTTAAAACAACTGAATCACTTCTTCCATGATTTTTGAATAGAACCCCTGTATCACAATTATAGAATTCTTTGACAAATTAAAAGAGGATAGACAAATTCAAAAGTCAAAAATTGATTAGTGTAGCTACCTCAACGTATCCAAAAAAACCCAGAGCTCATGTCACCAGCAGGGACATAGCAATTATTTTCTCAGGGACATAGCGTTACCTGTAGCAGCTCTAAAAGAAGAGAAAAGCATCTTTCCCGCAACTCACCACAATCCTTTTTAGAAAGACCAATCCCTGAAAACAAAAATAAAGAACAATAAGAGACAAAAACAATGACGAAGATCATGGGCAACACACAAGAGAATATAACATTATATATATAACAACTTAATATCTAGCGTATTATGGAAAAATTCATTGTATCAACCAACTAAATATAAAAACATCTAGCGCATTATGGAAAAGTAATTTAACAATGAAAGAGAGAAAAACTTTCTCTTTCAAACAAAGAAAAAAAATTAATGTTTTAATATCATGGATTTCTCTCTCTCTGAGCTGGATACAAACAAAACCCAGAAAGGAAAAGCGCAAGATATCATTTCCCTGATAAAATTGAAGGAATAGCCAATTGCCACAATTAAACCCTAAACCCTCCTTCCTCATTTTACCTCAACCCCAAAAACAAAATGCTTCCATTACCCAATATTCCAATTCGAATCAAAAAATGAAAGAAAGAAAGGGGGTGAAGAAAAAGAAACCCAGAAACACCAGGCATTGTTCAATAATAATACCACATTAATGAAAGCAACATATCACTACTATCGCAAACTTCATCGATCATACCGAGAAAAAAATTCAAAAATAACGAAGCAGCAAAAGATCCCCGTTCGTTGAAGGAAACAGCACCCCCGAAAGAAAAGAAACAAAACTCTAAGAAGAGAAGAAGCTGGTGACGACGCAATCGATCCAATGGAAATAGGAAGAGTTGAAGTAGAGAGAAAGTGGGAAGGCTTTTTGGGTACAATTTTAGAAAGATATTTGATTTGGGGATAGGAAGAGATGGATTAAGGCAAGGCAAGGCAAAGGAGGGGTTTTTGGACTTGATATTGTTCCTCGAAGATAATAAAGAAAGAAAAGGCGGTGAAGAAAAAGAAACACCGTGACATTAATAAATGCAACATACCGGGAAGAAAAATTCAAAAATAACGAAGCAGCAAAAGATCCCGTTAGATATGATAGCCGTTGGTTGAATATGAGCCGTTAGATATGATAGGCTCCTATGGAGGCTCCATTTGATTTAAAGGTTATTTTATTTGAAAAATTCATTGTATCATCGTAATTAAATTCTATTGAGCCACGTGCCGGGTTTTACCATCCCAACCCCGATTCAAAAATATTTTATTAATATATGATTATGTCGTGCCTCGATAATTTTTTAAGTTTTTTTCCGTTTTGATATTTAAATTATAACCTCGACTCTAATAGAATATATCAATTAAAATAATTTATTTTTATAATTAAATAATATATTTTAATATTATAAAAATAAAAATATTTAAAATCTTAAATATATTATATATTTTATACTAGGTCGGGTAGATGATTTTTCACTTTAAACCCTATATCGTCATATCCCGAACCTACCTGATATATAACTCGCCTCGCCCCGATTCGATAAATTTCCAAAAAAAGAAAACGCCCCTATAGGTCGAGTTGGGTCGGGACTCGTCAGATTCGGATATTTTGACCATCCATATTATTGAAATATTTTTTTACGGTTAATTATTCTTTTTCATTTGTCAAATAGCTTTATTTGTATTTTATTTATTATAGGAGTGTATGTGAGTGAAGAATTAATATGAAGGTATATAAATCCAAGAGAATTTCAACGGAAATGCATAATCCCGGAAGATTTAACTATATGCAAACTGGTATAATAAGCTGCCAACTACTTGCAATCATTATAATTTCTTTTTGGTCAGATTTTAGCATTAATTTGCAAGTGCGGCTTGGCTTGCTTCCTCATGCCCATACCACTAGCAATTGGTTGTTGCATCTTTTCCCATTTCACCAGTGGTATGGTAGTGTTATTATTACTTGTACCTTATATAAATCGTCGGATAATTTTCTCCATTTCAACACATACTCCTTTAGGTAACCAAGAGGATTGCATTACATAACACGGAATAGCCTGAAGGACAACCTTCGCAAAGGTGATACGTCCCGCTAATACAACGTTCTCACCACCCAACTCGAAAGCCGTTGATTCATACGATCAAGGAGATAAGCATTCGTGGCCTTGGTAACTCTACTACGAAGTAAAGGGATCCCAAGGTACTACCCTAGATCATTGACCTCCTTAAACCCAAAGCTCCTGGCAATAAGGTTCCTCACTTGTGCCTCGTAATTCTTCGAGAAATGTATATGGGTTTTTTAGACACTAATTTGATACCTCGAATCCTTACAAAAAACCATTAAACACCTCTTTTATGACATCTAAATGATACAAATCAACCTAAGACCAGATCATCGGTAAAGAATGAAGTGACAACCCCGGAATACCCCTTGAAAGGTGTTTCGGCTTCCATTGACTCGAACTAATTCTCTCCTTAATTGATAATCTGTCACAACCTCTCAATATATAAAACAAAGAGATAAGGGGATAAGGAATCCCCTTTCCGAAGACCTCTTGAAGGTTTAAAAGGTTCAGATAAATCTACATTTCACAAAATCTTCGGGGAGACTAATTTAACACACATCATAATAATAAGATCAACAAATTTGTCTAGCAAACCTACAACATGAAGCGTCTCCTCAATGTAGTCTCATTCCAACCGATTGTACGTTTTCTGAAGATCCACTTGTATTGTTATTTACCTTTTTTTTACCTGACTTATTAACCATTGAGGGAATTGCTTCTTGAGCTAAGATAATATTATCCTTAATTTTTAATAATTTATTATTATTTATTCACCCAAGATTTCTAGTGTTTTCCAAAAGTTTAGGATTAAGATTTGTTAATAATAACTTAAGATTTTAAGTTTAAAATTAAGATTTAAGTAATTTAAGTTAAGAATTAAAGATTAAGTTTCAATAATTTAAGTTAAGAATTAAATTTAATTAGATTAAAATTATGATTAGTACAATATATAATAAAATATTAAATTAAAAATATTTAATATGTTTTAATTTATAAATGAAAAGAAAATTAATAACTTAAATATTATGTTAAATTATTAAAGAAAGTTGAATAAATTTCGTAACATTGTCCAAAAGGCGAGGCTAAACATATTATTTCGACAAATTAATTCAGAAACGTTTCTACAGGATGCTTGAGAGACACGCCCGTGCACACCATTTTAGACAAAGCGGCACGACAGCTGTGTATTTATCTTTGTTTTTCAATAACAATTTAAAAAAAAAAGCTAAAAAGGTCGGCTTGAGTCCAACTTTTTAAACCTATAAATAGAATATGCAACAGCAGTTTTATTTCCGTCTTTGGTATTTTTTCTAGAGTCTTCCTCCTCTTTTGTGATTATTTCTTCTTCTTTTCTTAGAAACAGATGAATCGAGTTGTTGAAGAAGATCAAGTCTCCATGATTATGGATGATGAGGAAATCTCAGACGCTATGTCTGGAAGTAACGAGCTTGTTTCAGGTTCCAATTGTTTCGAGCACTTTGTTGCAAACGGCTTCTTTAAGATAGACCAATCAAGCTTAGAAAGCTGTATTATTCAAACAAGTGTATCGCAAAAATTACAGATGTCTAAGAGAACAAGAGTCGTGGCGATTCATAAGAACTTTAACTCTAGTCGGTCCTGGCAAATTCGAGCACACAGTTTCCGTGTTACTGCTAAGGCGGTGGCTGATAAGTGTGGTGGAGACGCGCAGATCCGGTATGCTTGGTATGGTGCTTCCAGAGATGAGATTTGCGAGATTGTGACGCATGGATTTAGTTGGCGTTCTAAATCCGCTGCCGATTCACATAGCATCTCTTTGTCTCCTGCAAAACATGTCATTGACTGGTTAGTTTTCTAATTGAAAACTTGCGTTGAGATTTCTGGATCCCCAATTTTGTTTATTTGAGGGTTAATTTATGATTTCTTTTACAGTGTGTTGTCTTCAACGGTTGATGAAAGTGGATTGAGGCATTTGTTGTTATGCCGAGTTATATTGGGGAAACAAGAACCGGTAACCGGAGACTCATCCAATCAGTTTCACCCAATCTCGTCGGAGTTTGATTCCGGCGTAGATGATATCTCAGCTCCCACGAAATACATCAATTGGAATTCTCGCTTGAATTTTAGTATCCTCCCTTGTTACATTGTCAGTTTTGAGGCCCCTTACTTAAAAGGCAAGCAACTTATCGCAAACCTTGTTTGTGTGTGAACTGTGAACATTAATTTGTTTTCATGCATTAATATTATCTCGTAACAATAGTATTTGCTCATCAATCAATTAGGGTTCAAAGGATTAACAGAGGTAAAAACCATCAGGCGTAAATCATCATTGGTGACGTTTCCCACATTGATTTCCATACTCTCTCGGTTTTTAGATCAATCACGGATGGCTTCCCTAGAAAAACAATACACATATTTTAAGGTACGTTTATTCAATTTTCTATGTATGTCTCAGAATTTGTATCTCCAATTAAAAATCTAATGAAAATATAATCTTGGAACATATAATATATTTCTATGCATTTGATTTTACAGGGAAAAGAAATTACAAGGCCGCAAATGATACAGAGGGTGAAAGAAATAGCTGGAAACATGTTGTTATCTGCCATATTCAACATGTACACAAACAAGGTGCAGTTTTGCAAGTAAATTTGAGGACCATTTTTATCGTAATTGTTAAAATCATTCTCGAAAACTATTATATATAGTATATAATAGATTGTTATAGTTGTTCAAAATATATTCTTTATGTGTATGCTGCTTGTTTCCATGCATAATATAAAATTCGTTATTTGAAGTTACAATTAAACATTTAGAGACGACTTTGACGGTGCTTATTAAATTAATCGATTTTGAAGATGTTGATTGATCGGATTTAAGAGAAAAATGATTTAAACAATCGTTAACTAATTAATCCCTAACATGCAGGATATTCAAGTTACCAGCAGCGGAAGGGCGGCGATGCCGATAGTTCGATAATAGGAGTGGAAGTCTTCGGTTATGGTTTATTTATGGACCCATCCATTTGGTATTACATGGTTACACTTGTAACATTTGAATTCTGTAACAGAAATAGTAGATAATTCTATTGGTTTACAACTTAAATTAAGAGTCTAAAGGCCATTGACTTGTGAAACCTGATTAAGCAACACATATATGTCATCGATTAAGCAAACACCACTCGATCATCAATCCAAAGCCCAATCAACCGAACCACAGTTATTAAGTTGTGCGGAAGTGTGGCCCAGGTTCTGGACCAAGGCCTTTGGGTCGTCACCGCCACTCAACAGTAACTCTGTGACGGTTTGGTTTTATGGTGGCGTCGGTTTTCAGTAAAAAAGCTGATCTTGAACACGCCGCCGCCGCAAAAAAAAATCAAGAAGAGAACAGCGGAGTTAGAGGCGGCTTTCAGTCATACTCAGTTCGACCCGGACAAGTGGATCGAAACCGGATGAGAAATATGAGTAAGTTAGTCCACTTTGCAGTGCTCTGCTTTGTATACTTATTCCCTCGTGAATACCATTTCCCAGGGAATAACAACGGACCAGATTTTGGTGCACTTTGTGATATTGTTTTCATTTGTGAGAGAGAAAATTTTTTGATTCCACAAAAGAGAATGTCTAAACTTAGGTTGCAACCATCCTTTTCTTTTCAATTGCAGCTAAACAGCTCACAGCAGAAAAAAATACGTAAACATGCTTTCATTGAGAGTCGAACTCAAGACCTCCCGCTTACTAAACGGGTGCTCTAACCAACTGAGCTATGAAAGCTCGATGCCGTCTTTTCTCTGATTTATGTAATCTTTCTAGTAAAAACAAAAACTATTACTAAACTTCAAGCAATGTGTTTTCCCCCAAATTTATCCTTTCAACCACAATCCACAAGTTCCCCAAAACAAACTCGGCATGAACTTACGAGGCTAAGAGCAGCAACAATAATTATGAATCGTGATATTTATATCTTTATATTTATTTTTCCATGGTTGTCTGGTCGGGTGTTTTTAAGAAATAAATGAATTAGATTTCCTTTTAAAAATACTCATCTAAGATCAAGATTAATAGATGCCAAAGAGGTTTTTTTTTTTGTAAATTTGAAACGACACCGTTACAGGTAGTTCGGTAAACAAATCCAATCGGAAATCTACGGCTAAAACCTTCGCCTTCAGCCGACTTTAAGTGCGCTGTTGCTTCTCAAACAAATCTCTGTTCTCGTTTTTAACTCAAATTCTCGATTCCATTGTCGCTCTCTAGATCTCCATAGGTAACATCGAAACCTTGAATTCTCTCAACCCCCTCGTTAATCTGTAAATTTATGTTTTTTTTTCAATTTGCATTTCTTTCTCGTTGGTATTTCATTTGAAAATTTTTAGTATCTTTCGTCACCATTCTGTTAGATGATCAGAAACGAGAATCAGCGGACTCTGATTCGTTAGATTTTACTCAAGTTATTCTCTGCTATGTCTATTTTTCTATCAAAAATGTATTTATTAGGGAAAGTCAGACATATTACTGTTCTATCTAAAATTACTGTTTGTGATTAGAGTTATGCTTTCTTGCTAGATAGAATTTCAAGTTGCGTTGATCAAAGTATTATTTTTGGATGTAAAAACTAACTGTTTGGAAATGAATAAACATCAACTGGAGTTTCACATATATATATGTGTGAATACATTTCAAGGCGTTTAACTTTATTTATATTCGATAACATATTAAATGTAGAATTATCTGATGTAACTTCTGCCATGGTTAAGACGCTTATTTTATGTGGTGCAATTTTTTGGTCAAAGCTGGTTTTCTTGATCAATTTCTCTATGTTTTCGGTCTGAAGGTACTGAAATGGCGGAATCAAAGTCATTGAGGAAACCTGTTTTCACCAAGGTGGACCAGCTTCGCCCTGGGACTAGTGGTCACACTCTTACTGTCAAGGTTGTCAGCACGAAGATGGTGTTGCAGAAGGGTCGTGCTGATGGTCCTCAAGTTCGTCAAATGCGAATTGCTGAATGCTTGGTAGGAGACGAGACAGGAATGATCATCTTTACCGGTAGAAATGAACAAGGTATATTCTTCTCCAGATCCAAGTTTGAATATGGTTAGTTTTACATTTTATTGTTTTATCTTTCAGACTATTTTTTTTTTGTCCCTCGTTGCTTTTGGATTTAGTTCTCTCATTCTGTTAGACAATTACTGCAACATTGGGTTGCATGCGATTATATTTTATGTTGGAAAAGTAGCGAAGATTTGTGTTTGATAGTATTCTTTTACATAATTTATCTGAAAAGGTTTATCTTAGGGTGGTACAGACTGAACTCCTACATAATTAGGGAATACAATAGAAGAACTAACACTAGCTTGAATAGCTTCTAGAATCCCCAGTTCCTCGAGAACTTGGTTGTCTTAATATTCATGTCCGTTTTACTGTCCATGTTCGGGGTTCGAGCCTGTCCCTCGCAACAATTTCGTCTCCAACGTTCAAATTTTGGTCATTCCTTGGGAGTGCAATGTGTCTTATCATTGCACCCAACATTTCTTGGTGAAGTTTACTTTATTACTTAAGAGCTAAGACAATTTTCATTTTGTAGTGGACATGATGAAAGAGGGAACTACTGTTACACTTCGCAATGCGAAAATAGACATGTTTAAAGGATCAATGAGGCTTGCAGTGGACAAGTGGGGTCGTGTTGAGGTTGATGAACCTGCAAGTTTCATCGTGAAGGAAGACAACAATTTGTCGCTGATCGAGTATGAGCTGGTTAATGTTGTTGAAGAGTGATCCTTTTTGTATCTTTGACCGGGCAGCGATTGCTTTTCTTCTATATTGTGAACCAAGAATAAAGTCAAACACCAATGAACGTGTTACCCTGATATATGCTTCATCTTATCTTCAAAAGGGTTCACGGAAGCTAGTATAGTTCTCGAAGTTGCTTCTCAGTCCTCGCGGCAATATCCAGCAGAACCTTTTGGTTGGACCACCCAACAGACGGTGATGGCTGTAAATTTTAGAGCTAAAAACAACTAGCTTTTGGAACTTGCTTTCATCTGTGTTTTCTGTGTAGCAACTGTGTTTTGCTTTTAAATTATACTTCGGGAGTCTAATATTATGCATGCCTACGATACTAATTGAATTGTTGATGATGATACAATCATTGATGTCATTAATAGTTGTATGCTCATGGAATCATAATAATTTCAGAAGTAAATCATTATAAATTCAACAAACATGTTTGACAATTGATTGCAAGTAACTTTTTATATAATACCGATATTTGCTTTACTATTCAATCAATCTGGATATTATGAGGTGATTTTTCTAACGTAATTTATTTTATTCACAACGTTAAAATTTAAAAAATTAAGAATAATTAAGGAATATAATGTTTCTGACGTTATATTTTAACAAAATTATAAAATAAAATTTCTAAGAATAAGAGCTACGACGTCGTGTAAGGCCATAGTTTGACAAACCCCGATAAAAACCCTGCAATTCTCGGTAAAACAACAAAACACAAAATGGAGATGGGGTATATGTGGATGAGGCGAGTTCGATTCGCAGCTAACTCTCTCCTCCAAGCTATGGCGTTTCCCTCTCCCTCTTCTCCGGCTACTGCTCTCCGATATGCTTCCCGTCGCCCTCTTTTTTCCTTCACTTGTTTTAAACCACCTCATCCCATTACCTTAGCTTCCTCACATGGCCGTCGCTCCATTTCAATCTCAACCTTCTCTTGCTGCTCTTCTGCATCCACACTTCTTTCCCTCCCTGAAAACGAAGATCTCCCTGATTTTGAACGTGGGGAAAGCTACGAAAATCTGCCCAAGAGCTCCAAGGTGCTTCTCAAAGGGATGAATTACGGCGAACTTCAAGTGAGTCTTTATTAAAAAAATAATAATTTATGGCGTGTGAAGTTTGTGATTTTGAATCTCTGTGTCTAATCTTCTGGGGTTTTATTTATCAGGAATGGGTTCAATCACATGGATTCAGGCCTGGCCAGGCTTTAATGTTATGGAAGCGTCTCTATGGAGATAACATTTGGGCACATGATATCGATGATCTAGAAGGTTTTTTTTCTATTAAGTTTACTTCATCCATTAGAGAACCTTGTTTTTGTTTTGGTTTTTGTAATCCCACGAATGATTGTATCAATGGATACTCGTGGTTTTTAGGATTAAACAAGGATTTCAAGAAAATGCTGAGTGAACAAGCTGAACTTAGAGCCTTATCTTTAAAAGATATTCGCACTGCATCTGATGGCACTAGAAAGGTACACGTGATCTAATAATGATCAACCTCTTGCAGTTTCAGTAGACTCTTTGTTTTGACTCGGACGTTTTTCATCTCTATAACACCTTAAATATGTATGTCCACCTTGGGTCAGTTGCTTGCACTACTTTGAGAGTCTTCTCATTGATTTTGAAACTCACACAGGAGGTTGCAGATTTTGTTCGTGCTGGACGACGGGTTGGTCATAGAAACAGTTGTGATACCTTGCGATAGGGGAAGGACAACCGTTTGTGTTTCGAGTCAAGTGGGCTGTGCTATGAATTGCCAATTCTGCTATACTGGCAGGCAAGTTATTTTCTTAAATTGGCAATTTAGATAGTTTGGGACTCTTAGAAATCATTACCTCTCTAAGGTGTACTTTGATTCATGGATTTTTATTGTAGGATGGGTCTGAGGAGACATTTAACTGCGGCTGAGATCGTAGAGCAAGCTGTATATGCAAGGCGATTGCTCTCTGGTGATATTGGTTCCATTACAAATGTTGTATTTATGGTATGTTTACTGCAGATTCCCACTGTTCATTGACTCTATTGCTTGGAAAATAATTATGGCTCTCTTGCCTGTTGGGATCTGCTTGTCTTTTATCTATTAGAATGTATATTTATATATTCATAATTTGGCATGTCGTGCATCTACTAGATGGAGTTTTGTTCCGGAAATGTTTAAACAAACAGCATTAAATTGGTCTGTAGTCATGAAGTGCTAGTTATTTGAGAGTCAGTTTCTGAGCGAAATTTTTCTTCTTTTTTCTGTTTTCAATCTCATATGCTGTGTGTAGACACTCAAAAGACTTGTCCTTCAAATAAACATTTTTTTTTCATTTTTACTAATGAAAAACTTGTGGGTATTTAATCCTGTTTTAATAGACTACTTATGGGTTCTAAGGTTTTCTTAGATTATCTTGTAGCCCAGTATTCAATCATTTTCAGTGAACCTATTGTGCCCTTAACTGTTGTTTCTACATGAATTTGAAGGGAATGGGAGAGCCATTTCATAATATTGAAAATGTTATAAAAGCTGCTGATATCATGGTGGATGAACAAGGCCTTCACTTTAGCCCTCGCAAAGTCACTGTTTCTACAAGTGGACTTGTTCCCCAGCTGAAATGTTTTCTCCGTGAATCCAAATGTGCCTTAGCTGTTAGTTTGAATGCTACAACTGATGAGGTATTTTATTATCATATGTATATCCCTATCGATGCTCATCTTTCTTGCATATATACACTCATATACACATAAATTAGAGTGGAATGCACTTGTATTCTCACTCACAAAAGGAAGGCACAAATAAATGCAGAGAAGGAGATCTAGAAAGTTGGATACTGACCCTTTTTTTTTGTTGAGAAATCATGCAGGTCAGGAATTGGATCATGCCAATCAATCGGAAGTATAAACTGAACCTTCTTCTTGAGACCCTTAGGGAGGAACTAAAGTTCAAAAATAACTACAAAGTTCTATTTGAATATGTGATGCTTGCGGGAATTAATGACAGGTTAGATAACCTTACCCTTTTAAGCAATACTTCATATTCTTTAAGTGTTTAAGGATGCAGAGTTAGATCGTACGCAATAAATCATCCTTTCCCTTTAAATATTGAAACTTGTGGACTACTGATTAATTTCCAGTCATTGTGTGTGCATCAATCAATCTCAAGGGCAAGTTCAAGTGCAATTGAGATTTTGGCTGATGTGATTCCATTTAACATGCATTTGCGTTTCCTACATTTTTCTGTGTCTTTTACCTCAAATATTGTTATTGGGTCTGTAGATTGTGAATGTCAATGGGTTTCCATCAGTTTGCCTTTGCAATGTTGAAACAACGATATCCTAATAGTTAATCTATATAGTAGAACACCAATTCCAGCTATCATAGTATCCCTGTTGTTTACGAATCTTTGATTGCCATATTCTGAAGCCATTGACATGTTTATTAGTTTTTGCAATCCTAATTTGAATTGATATAATTCCGACCGTCAATGACATTGATTTATATCTGCAGCATTGAGGATGCTAACAGGTTAATCAATCTTGTGAAGGGTATTCCCTGCAAAATCAATCTTATTTCTTTTAATCCTCATTCTGGGTCTCAATTTAAACCGAGCAGCGATGAGAAGATGATCGAGTTTAGAAATGTTTTAGCCAAAGGTGGTTGCACTGTTTTTATGCGATTTAGTAGAGGTGATGATCAGATGGCTGCGTGTGGTCAGCTGGGGAACCCTGGTTCAATTCAAGCACCCTTGCTCCGTGTTCCAGAGCAATTCCGGGTGCCTCTCAACACCGGTACATGATTTCTTGGACAATGAACAAACCAGATTTGGCTTAATCTTATCTCAAGCCTCAGACGAGTGGAGTAGGGCATGTTAGACTGTTGTACCTTTTCTTATTCTTATCGTTCCTTTTGGATTTATTTAGTTAAATGTGATGTGCTTTCTTCAAGGGGTTGAATTTAATTTATAATTTAAAAAAATTCTTTATAAATGCAGAATATCTTGAAGGAAATTACATGATAAAATTTATATTGGTACAGTGCAAATGTTTTCCAAGTATTTTGACCTAAAATATGTGAACATGTACGTTCAGGAATTTTGTTTTCCGGTGAAACAGCCCATATTCATTTTCCAGAACATTTGCTACATCATACGGTTTTAAGACAGAGACATGCAATGAGAGCAGTTATACATGCTTTAAGCACAGGATTTATCATAAAATTTTACATCAATTTTTTGTTAACTTTACAAAGATGAAAGCACCATCTGTGGAATCCAGTTAAAGGAAGAAAATGCTTGAATATCAGATGACCCAGAACCAGGCTATAACCGATCCTGATGCCAGACCAACAACTAGAAACAATACCATAACAATGCCGGAAGTCTCGGCGTGTTGTATCTGAACAGATTTGGGAGCCATGATCATTAACACACTTGTAAAGTAGCCATTAGTTAGCCCTAGAAGGCAAGTTAGTAGCGAGATGGGAATCTCCGTCCGGAAGAACTGAGGACCGTGCAAGCATCCTATGAAGATGGGAAAGAACAGTAACCTCACAACACAAGCAGAAATTGCAACCCTTGCATTTTCAAGGAGGTAGACAGCAGTCAACGATTTGCCAACCAGGTCAAACACATTGTAGCACGTAATAAGGAGGACTGGATACCAATCTTTGAGAATCGAAGAGTGCACATCTTCTGTGATATATCCTGGAAATATAGCCAAAGTCACAAGATATATGAGAACAACCCCAAAACCATACCATTTGACTGTTCCTACTATATTCCACAAGGTTGCTCTCCAAACTGGCCCGGTAATCGGACCTTTCTCCACGTTTTCCTCCTTAACAGCCTCGATCTTCAACTCCTCATAGTACTTCATAATCGGAAGTCTGTATGCCACATTGTACAAGACTATGCATATAACCATAAACACAATGCTAGTGAAAAAGTAAAGATATGCGCTTTTTCTCAGGCCATCAGCATCTTGTGGAAATACAGCTTTGGTTAGGAGTCTCAGCAGTGAAACAAGGACCCCTGAAGCCAACAATTTGACAAATTAAAAAAATGCATCAGACGCAATATTTATCACTAATCAGTATCAACCCAGGTTAATAACAAGAAGCAGCACAGGCCTGCATATGAACAGATTCAGGGTTCGTAGTAACTAAGGATTTATCAGGAGCTTTATTAGGTATCCGGCGAACCTAGGCAACCTTTAAGCTGTAACTGCTCAACATACCTTGAAAATTACTAAGTTATGGTTGACTCAAACCACTAGTTGGGTTACTAGAAGTTAAACAAAACAGCTAAATTAGTGTGCGCTTAAGTAATCAATGAACAAGTTCCTTAGAAATTGAGTAATGACTTTTTTAAGTACTAATCAACTGAACCAACTTTCAATCATTCACGAAATCAAATAATTAAATCAACATCCATATCTACAATTATTGAAAAAAGGGGTTCTTGTTGAATTACCAGAACCGCCGGATCCTGCAACGATGGCCTGCATGTAGCGTTCCGGCAATTCCCCAGCCGCTCCAATGAGCCCACCTTGAACAAGCGCATCAGCTATACCCGCCAAAGCGAGAACCCCGACGGTAACGTAGAACCCGTAATACAACCCGACCCGACCCTTTATATAAACAGCATCCATGACAGGCACGATGAGGAGGGAAACCACGAATAGGGCCAAACCAACATTGATCCTCATGTGACCTTCACTCTTGTGAGCATATAACACAATGATCAAGAGGGAGAAGAGGCCGACCACCATGTAAGCGACAGCGAATACACGATCGACTGAAGCTTCCGGGTAGAGGTAGGAGAAGTAATCGACAGCGGTGATGAAGGAATTCCATGGGAGGAGGACACCGACGCCTAAAGTGAAGTAGATGGTGTAGGCCAAATTGAATCTGTCTTCTGGCTTCGGCGATTGGCGGAGGAGGAGGGCGGATTCGGCGTCGGGTTCTGGGCCTCCGTCGGTCGTGGATGCACCGGAGAAACCCATTCGGAGAGTTTTTTTTTTTAAATAAAAATAAATAAATGCAACTAAACTTGGATCACAGTTTCCCTGTGGATTGAGAATTTATGGAGATATCTCCTGTGTGGCAAATGTGATGTCGTTTTGCAATTGTTGACCTGCTTTAATAATTATTTTTAGGTATCTATTGGGATACGTACCCTCGTTCTCTGTGGTTGATCTTTTGATATTTTGTAAAGGCTCTTTTGACTCTATGGTTGATGTACATTGTGTGTTGGAGAAGTTTTATAGAATGTCTGGTTTGAAGTTGAATGCTGCCAAGAGTGAGGCTTTTGTTTCGGGAGTCAGCTCAGAACAACTGGTTAACATTCAAGGTTGCACGGAGTTTCGAATTGGTCGGCTGCCCGTCCGTTATCTAGGAGTACCTCTTGTTACTAGGAAACTTTCGGAGGAGGATTGTGCTCCGTTAATTGCCAAGGTGCAGGATAGGCTCTGAATCGTTGGGAGAATAAGCATCTAATCTATGCTGGTAGGCTCTAGCTTGTGAAAGCGGTTCTGTTCAGCATTGCGAACTATTAGTGTCGATAACACATTCTTCCTAAAACAGTTATTGGGAGGATTGGTCAATTTTGTGCTAGGTATTTCTGGAAGGGGAAGGATTCAGTCGCTTCGGGGGCAAGAGTGAGTTGGAAGCAAATATGTAGTGCGAAGTCGAAGGGTGGGTTTGGTTTGAGGGACATCGGTTGCAGGAATAAAGCTTGCATCCTCTTCCTCATTCGGCATATCCTGGCTGGGGAAGGGTCCTTGTGGGTCGTTTGGCTTAAAGCTTATGTGTTCAAGGAGGTTGATTTTTGGCAAGTGAATGGCAGGGTAAATGCTAGTTGGAGTTTAAAGAAACTCTTGGGGTTGAGAGAGGAGGCTCGCTCCGGCAGTGGACCTTCATACATTAGAGTCAGGAGGATTTAGTCTTCGATTCAGGGGTCAGTGCTAAGGCTCCTTGGCACAGAATCTTGTGGTTCTGTCTCTATATTACTAACCACGTTGTCATTGGTTGGATGGTTATTCTTAGGAGGCTTCTGCCAAGGATCGGTTGCTTAGGATGAGGTTGGCTGTTGATGGGCAGTGTGTCTTCTGCGATGAGTTGGAAACTAGGAATCATCTCTACTTTGGATGTTACTTATGTCCAGGAAGGTGAAGTGCTGGGATAAAGAGGACCATTGCAATTCTTAAGGGTAAAACTTTGATTGTTTATGTGCTTAGAATTGTTAGGAATGTTGTTTATCACACTTGGGAGGAGATGAATAATAGGCAGTTTAGGACTGCTGCTAGAGAACAAAGGGTGATTTTTTTATAATTATTATATGATAAACTCACACTATTGACTTGATTATAATTATTATTCCCACAATCTTCTCTCCTTATTTCCGCAAAGTAATGAAACAGATGAAGTAAAGTACGATTGGTGGTGGAACAAATTTTAGATCCATGCTAGATCCTTCAAGGGAGTGACAACTGCCTTCACTTGCAAGTAATTGCTAAGACAGTGAATACCCTTTTCTCTTCCCTGTCCGCACATCTTGTACCCACCAAATGGGATAGCCGCATCGAACACATCGTAGCAGTTCACCCAGACCTTTCCCACTTTCAATGCTCTCGTCAGTGTGTTCGCTGTGTCTATGACCTGCGTGAACACACCTGCGGCCAGTCCGTAAGAGGTCGTGTTCGCTCTCTGGATAACCTCGTTGATGTCCCTGCGATTAAGGGGAAGTGATAACTATTGTTAGCATCGGTCACATTTAATGTGTTCGATAGGGCAAGGGTGATGAGTTTGCTCACTTGAATTTCAGGATGGATTGAACTGGACCGAATATCTCATCCTTTGCAATCAACATTTTTTCGTTTACGTTGGAGAAAACGGTGGGCTGAATGTAGTAGCCCTTGTCTCCGATCCTCTCGCCGCCAGTTTCAAGGGTTGCTCCGCTTTCGACGCCTGATCTTATGAACTTCATGATCTTTTCAAATTGTTCTGAATCAATCTGATTTGAGTATACATCGGTATCAGTACAACTAGCTAGTAGCTACCATGGAAGAATACAGAAGGCACTATTCGTCGGTGGTTGATTTACCTGAGGACCTTGTTCAATGCCTGCCACAAATGGATCTCCAATGCTACGTTTCAATGCACGCGCCTTCGCCTTCTCTAAGAATTCATCATACACGCTCTCGTGTACGTATGTACGAGAGCCGGCACAGCAACATTGTCCCTACAAATGTTTCATAACTAGTGTCGATAAAAAGAAACCCCATTCCTAAACTGATTTCAGTGCATTTCATCGGACATTACCTGATTGAAGAACAAAGCAAAGTGAGCCAGCTCAACTGCCTTGTCCACATCAGCATCCTTGCAACGATAAAAGGTGATTTTCCTCCGAGCTCCAATGTTAGGGGCTTAAGATTGCTTTTTGCAGCCAATTGAAGGACAATTTTCCCAGTTTCAGTTGATACAGTGAAAGCAAGCTGTAAATTCCAAATGGTACAGAACATGAATTAGTCTAGGACTAAGTAGTTTACTTTAACGATTTAAAGTACCTTATCGACTTGCATATGACTGGCAAGAGCAGCTCCAGCGTTGGGCCATAACCTGAAACCACGTTTACAACACCTGCAGGAACCCCAGCCTGTGAAAATGATTCCAAGAGAGAATGTGAAATTATTAATCAATCCGATTGCTCAATGTTTCCGAAGGCAAGAAACTATACGAGAAAAACAAGTACCTCGTGAAGTAGGTTGGCAGCATAAAGAGCAGACAACGGCGTCTGCTCCTCTGTCTTAAGGACGACAGTATTGCCACATGCCAAGGCAGGTGCAACCTTCCAAGCAAACATGAGAAGAGGGAAATTCCATGGAATAATTTGACCAGCAACAC